CAACTTCTGCATGAATTGCCTTTTTCGAGCCTCCAAGCTCACGTGCTGGGGAGGGGGGGGGGGATACCTTTTCCATTCAAGTAATCCTCAAACATGTTGATTTTGACAAAACATCTGAGAATAATATCAAAGAGATGTTTTGCGCAGTCACAAGATGCTCTTTTTCGGGCAGAATACATATAGGGATCATCCCTTAGGGATCCCCTACAATAGATGAATCCTTGATGAATCCTGCGTTATGAATCCAGGGTTCCTTTTGGTTTGGCAGGTGGAGGAAGACCTGCAAAGCAGGCTGGACGGCCCGGAGATGATCATCCGGATCTGACCGTTGCGGTTTTGCGGTGGTCCAAGTGGATATCGATTGTTCGAAAGGTGGTCAGGGTGAACACCGCTGACGTTCGCTTTGGGCAAGTGAGGTGATCAGATATCGTGTTGTGAGCACTTCATCATAATATGGGTTGTCGTTTGCCTTTTGCACTGGTTTTACAATACGTGTTGGATTTTGCAAACCCAGGCGTGTGGTTTGCTGTTCGATGCTTTTGATGCTTTCCGCCCCAAGTGTCCATGGCATGTGAAGGGGGGGGGATCGCCAGCTGGCACTGTGTAATGGCCATTCTTCTGCTTTGGAGAAACATGAAACACAAGAAACAAGTCAGGACAGAGCCGGCTGCTTATTAAGCAGCCAGCTGTTTCCGAGCAGATCCTGTTCAGGAGGGTGTGCCATGGGAGGCTAAGAGGTCACATGAAGAGCTATGTTACATGTTGTTTCCGGAACACTCGACATACTCGCAGGTGTCCGCTCGAGTTGAAGGGTTGTAGGTCTGAAGTACACATTAGATGCCGCGGGTCCTTGGTTTGCCTCCTCCAGGGAACAAGTTTCTAGCCTTGTGAGAGTCGTTTCAAGGATGCATTTGGGCCAGCTGATTTCGAGGAGACTCTGCGTCGATGGTTTTGGCATGTGTCCTTTAGGGAACCTTGCTTCTGTCTTAGCGGTCTCGCAAGCAGGGGAAATGGCATCCACTGGTTTTGGCATCCGAAACAACCCCTAGACTTAGCGAGCCTGGTAATTCCGGGCTACCTGTCCATAGACCTCATTTGTCCAGTATTGGTTGCATTTTTAGACTCTAGACCCCTGAGTTGTTCCCCGTTTGCGGCCAGCGTTCACCAAGTGAAAGGCTTGGTTTTGCTGACCTGCCTTCCCCTGGCCCCTTCCCAAACCTCGGGTTTCTCACTGCAGCTCTGGGTTTGTCGCAGGGCCGGCGCCAGGTACGTCCACAAGCCGGCGGAGGCCCTGAAGAAGGCGGACGTGGCCTTTGGCAAAGCCGCGCAGGACCGGAGACCCCCATCGAGTCGGGAGGATCTGATTTCGGCGGGTTGAATGGGACAGAATCGAGCATGGTTGTTTGGGTCAAAAGCTGAGGTGTGAGAAGTTGGTTCCTTCCGGGGGGGGAAGGGGTTGTTGTTTCAGATTGATCCAAAGCAGCGCGGCAGTTTTGAGACAGCCCTGCGGAGTATCTTCAGTTGGTAGATTCCAGTGAACTCAGCTGCCCCCTTGGTGAATTGGATTGTTTTGGTGAAGTTCGAGTAGTAGCCGCTTCTCATTTACTCACAAGAACTTCAAGCCAGGGTTTCCATCCAAATCCCGCCTGTTAAGCTGCCATTTTGGGTCAGGATTTACTGCGGCCCAACAGCACCTGGAGCTACGAGCCCGGCTGCCCAGGTCTATGGGCCCGGGATTGGCTTGACGTACCCCGGAGGGAAACAAGTGGAAACCACCCAGAGGGAAAAAAAACCCAAAAAACGACCAGCATGGGTTTTGATATTTTTTCCTCGTAGACTTCTTGCCAGGCTTTGGTGATGACTTGCCGACTTTCCGGTTCTCTTGATTTTGAGCGGGGTTCTCCTCGCCTCATGGAAAGCCAAGGCCCCACCCCCACCCTGAGATCTCAGGTTTGTATCGGAAGGCTTCCCTGTAACTTTTCCATCGAAGCAAGTCGATCAACTCGGAGAATCCCCACTGCCCCAAACACCAAATTCTTATCCTTTCCACCTAGCAGTTGGGAAGAACAATTTATCGGGAGTCGTCAGTATGGCAATTCGGGATGGATCCCGACCTCACAAAACAAAACGACCCCCCTTCCGGATTTCCAAAGCTATCCAGGCCACCAATATGGAAGTTGAGAGATTCGGTCGTATTTTCCCCCCCGCTTCTGTCTTGTTTGGAGGGGTTCTCTTGAAATATTAGTCACAGTTATATTTCAATGTCACTGGAGAATTGAAGGTGAGAATGGACAATCTGGCCATAGGGGCTGCCAAAGCTGCTTTTTGAACCGCTTGAATGTGAGTCACTTGCGGAAAATGTGGGCCAGCCATTCGCCTTTGACAACTCCAACGCAAATTCACTCCGAGCCCAAAAAGAAATCTTCTAAAATGCACAGGTGTCTTGGTGTCCAAGGCAGGCAGGCAGGCAGGCAGGCAGGCAGGCAGGCAGGCAGGCAGGCAGGTCGGCAGGCATGCAGGCAGGCAGGCAGGCAGGCAGGGCAGGGCAGGCAGGCAAGCAAGCAAGCAAGCAAGCGAACAACGCACGCCAAACCTGTTCAAGCAACACAAAAATCACAAAACCAAACCAAATGCAGCAAAACAACTGAAAGGAAGTTTAGAAGGAACTTCCGTGCTACGGCAACTAATTGAAAGCTAGCTCTCTCTAAGACAGATGAAGAGAAGGAATAAGCGCGTGAGAAAATATGTGCGCGCGTGTGGTGGGAGTATACAAAGCTGCAAAAAGCATGGCCCCGTGCGTGAATTGGTGTCTCCGGAGAGCCGAAAGCTAGCCTGCTCGCGGCGCCTGGTCGGAGCGCGTTCGGACCACGTTCGGAGCGCGTTCGGAGCGCGTTCGGACCATGCTCGGAGCGCGGGCCCATTGGCGCGGCAGCGCGAAGGTTTCGCCAGGTTTGAATTGCGTGGCAGGCGCAGCACTTTCGCAAGGTCGAGTGCAGATTTCGTGGCAGGCGCGGCACTTTCGCAAGTTTAGGTACAGATAGATAGATAAATAGATTAGAAAGAATGTAGATAGTTAGAGAGATAGACAGGTAGGTAGAGAGATAGAGAAGAGATAGATAGATAGATAGATAGATAGACAGATAGATAGAGAAATAGATAGACAGATAGATAGATAGATAGATAGATACGCGAGAGATAGATAGATAGATAGATAGATAGATAGATAGATAGATTAATTCACAAAAGTGAGTTTGCGGCCAATCATGAAGGTTCTTTGCATTGAATTGAGTTTGCAGCTCTTCCTGTTTTGAGTGAAAGTTCGTCGAATGCAGCGCCATTGGGCCATCCCCTTCCGGCAATTCTTGATCCTTCGGTCCACACTCAGAGCGGGAGCCGAATCCTTCTTGGTAGAACCAAGCACATGTCCCATCAGCTTCTCCCTTCTGGATGGATGGTTTAGTCACTGTCAGCCAGGGCTGTCGTTGGGATCGGTTTGTCCAAAGCATGTATCCATCCTCGGCCTTTCGGTCGGTAGACCACTCCAAAAAGACAAGTATAAGACAAGGCTGTCGTGAAAATCCATTGAATATGGGTTCTGCCATTGGGTTCGTCAGGGTGCCCGACATGACACTGGTTCTACCAACGCTTAAAAAGGGGGACGATTGCATGGGTGCGTCAGTGTGTGTGTGTGTGTGCGCGTGTGTGGGTTTTGAGGGAGGCCAAAGAGAAATTCAGCATTTCCGGGATTCAAATCCACGCGCACACACACACACTCACACACCGACCTAGCCTCCCCCTACCTAAGTTTTGATCGCATGCGTAAATACGCCTTTAACCCCCCCAGGTTTTGGGCAGATTTCCTCGTGTTTTGCCAACCTAGCATAGCAACAAACGAAGACGTAGTTGGCTTCCTGTCATGTAAGCAAACATTTCTAAGCTTCTTCTTCTTCCATTTACTTAAGAACATGCTTTATTTATCCAGTCGGTGTTAAAGGACATCTATCACTACTGAACTTTGCTGGGGGGAGAGGTCTTGGTGGAAACAACAAGTCAGTTTGTGTTGCTTGATGCTGAAACTGTGAATACTCTCCTTTTGGTGGTTTTAAGTTGAATGGTTGCACATCTACTTGGAACCCTCAAGAAGGCTCTCGGAATAAGACATGGGAATGTCTGCGTGGGCTTTGACTCTGACTCAAAAGCACGGGTTCTCCAAGGTTCTCGATTTCTCTCGGTTTCTCCAAGAAGGACAATTCATGTGTAACTTTCAGTTCATGATATGAATTCCCAAACAAATCCGTCATACAACATACGTTTTATAACATACGTTTTAATACATGGTGCTTTTCAATTTCAGGTGTGTCATGGTTTCCTTTGAAACGACATGGATGTTCCGGGAGCCCGGGCTAACTCTCGTAGGTCTGCTCAGAAGGACTTCGCCATTGAGCTGGCGCAAGCCATGAGGCGTTTGCGCGGGAAACGAAAGAGTCGGGAAATTCGGTCGGAGGCGAGGTGGCACTTTGGGTGTGTGTGTGTGTGTCATGTGTGTGTGTCATTTGTGCGGATACTCGTTTTACCTTGCCCTCTTCCAGGTACCACTACAGCAGGTACCTACATGCCTGGTAATCTACTATAGTAACCAGAAGCACTGGGCTGGTTTAAAGGCAAGCCAGCATTTTTTGGGTCCCTTTTTACATACCCATATAATATGTAAGACCTTACCCGGAGAACTCGGCCCGGCCTCATGCGTGTGGATGCATCGAAAAAGAATCATGAATCTTACGTGAGCGGGGGGCGTTGACCAAGGCCACTATCCGGCTGAGTTCCTGGTCTCATGAGTGTAAAAGAGCGGCTTCTGACAGGCTTTTAGGGCACTTTTATCTTGAGGGTTTCCAGGCTTGGAGTCAGTTCTATACGGGCCGAACATGTGTTGTTGGTTTTGACGTAGCCACGGTGCGGTTCTGTGCCCGTTTCGGCCTTGATCGCCAGGCAACAAGTGAGCCTCACCCAGGAGAGGATGAGAAGTGCCAGGGCCTCGAACGCAACGTGATTTCCCTCGTGGATTTGCGGAAAGCGATGTGGGCATATCCGGATCAATGCAAGCTCCGCGAACGTCATCTACCAGATGAGCTACTACTAAAAGGGTCGGCGCAAGGGACATGAATTGGAGTGGAATAGGACGAAGGCGAGGCTTTATAACGAAGACTTTTATAGCGGTCGTGATCCCGCGCGCATGCTGGTGACCACGGTAAGAACACCCACTTTCGCGCTCTGCCAGTGGCACGCGCAGTTTCAGCGCTTGAGAACACACTCTGCGCACGCGCAGTCGTGACCCGCACGCATGATGGTAACCATGGTGAGCACACCAGCTTACGTGCTCTGCCAGTGGCACGCGCAGTTTCAGCTACCAGTACAACTACAACAACTACGAGTACTACTACTACTACTACTACTACTACTACTACTACTACTACTACTACTACTACTCCTACTACTCACTACTACTACTACTACTACTACTACTACTACTGCTACTACTACTACTACTAGTGCTACTACTACTGCTACAACTACTACTACTAGTACTAGTACTAGTACTAGTACTACTACTACTACTACTACTACTACTACTACTACTACTACTACTACTACTACTACTACTACTACTACTACTACCTACTACTGCTACTACTACTACTACTACTACTACTACTAGTACGTCTACTACCACTACTACAACTACTAGTACTACTACTACTACTACTACTACTACTACTGCTGCTACTACTACTACTACTACTACTACCCGTCGGGCGGGCGCCCACCCGTCCGTCCGTCCATGATCTTCACGGCAAGGTCGTGCAACATACTGCTAGGCATGGAAGATAGTGCGAGCCATTTGAGCAAATCATCCCATCACTATTACTATTACGGTTATTGTAACTACTAGTATTCTTGTTACACTTTTATTGCTACTACATTACTACTACTACTACTACTACTACTACTACTACTACTGCTACTACTACTGCTACTGCTACTGCTACTGCTACTACTACTTCTGCAACTACTACTACTACTAGTACTACTACTACTACTACTACTACTACTACTACTACTACTACTACTACTACTACTACTACTACTTCTACTACTACTACTACTACTACTACTACTACTACTATTACTACATGCTCGACGAACGTCCATGCGCTTCATGGCAAGGTCGTGCAACACACTGGTAGGCGTGGAAGATAGTCCGAGCCAGGTAATATTTTTCTACTACTACTACTATTCCTGCTAGTATTAGTACTTATCCTGCAGTTACTACTACTATTACGACACGAGCGGGAGACAGGGGCAGTGCGTCCTTTTTCCAAAGGTTCAAGCTTCAAAACCGAACTGCCCAGGGCTAAAAACAAGTCTGAAACAGTCCGGAAACATGTCTGAAACAGCCCCGAAATGCCTCAAGCCACAAGAGGCCCATTATTATTACTAATTCTTGTTTATTAGTATTACACTGCTTCTACTGCTGATACTACTACTACTACTACCACCACCACCACCACCACTGCTACTACTACTACTACTACTGCTACTACTACGACTAATGTCCACGTAGGATTAACAAATGCACCTGTAATAAAGACAAATGGGGGGCCCAAAATAATTAATAAATGCACCTAGAATAAAGACAAGCCCCTGCCCCCCCCGCCCATGAAAAAAAATGTCCCCCCAAAAAAAAAGTCACAAAAAAAGTCTCAAAAAGAAGAGAGAAAGAGAGAAAGGATAGGAAGGAGAGGAGAGATAGCCACCCCTTGTCCTTGGATCTTTGGCACCTTGCTCTTGGCACCTGCTTCTTTCCTCACCCAGTAGCTCAAAGCTTTCTCTGGGCAGCATGCTAAGCAGGCTGTGTACCTGCACTTTGAGCACCTGAAAAGTGCAGCTTTGGCTTTCCAAACTGCTTCTCTGGCATCTGGGCTCAAATCTTTGTGGGTGAAATACTGTGAATTCTGCTCAAAAGCTGCCTTTGCTGCTTGAGCTGTCTTGGAGTTCTGATCTTTTGCCTTGGCAAGAATCTCCAAGGCTTTCATTCTTCTTTGCTCCTGCTGCTCTTCAAGCTTCTTTTCCCTTTCTTTTGCTTTGGCCACTTCTGCATGAACTTTCTCAACTTCTAGCTGCAACTGCTTGTACAGTGCTTCCAACCTCTTGTCCCAGCTCTGGGCCAGCACACCTGGCCAGCCTCTGGCAGCTGGGCCTTCTGAAGCTAGCTCTGCCAGCTCTGCCTCAATGTAAGACAGAACTAGCTGGCCACTTTCTGAGGCTGTTTGCCTGCAGCTGTTGCACCTGGCTGGCACTTCTGGCAACTCTGAGGCAGCTGTGAGAGCTTGCATTGCTATTGCTGCCTTGTGCTTGCAATCTGCATGCTCATCTGCCAAGGTGTCCCTGTAGCAGAACTGCCAGGCTGCATCTGGACTGGACCTGTGGCCAACTAGCAAGGCCCAGTGAGCTGGGCTGCCCAGAACTGGCACAAAAATGTGCACCTTGTTGCTTGCCAGCTGCTGGATCTCTTCTTTCCACCTTTCTTCTTTGTCAATCTTGTAGGCGCACTCTGCATCCACAAGCTGGCAGCTCTCCAAGAACTCATGGCCTGAGAACTGCCATCTGAGCAGGTGCCAGCTCAAAGCTATGTGGCCACCCTCCAGCATGTTCATCTTTGGTGGCTCTGGCACAACTGCTTCTGCTTTCACTCCCAGGGCTGGCATGCAACCTGAAAGCTGCAGGAACTCCTGCTTTTTCAACCTGCCAAGCTGTGTGAACTGCTTCCACACAGCTGCCTTCTTCCAGGAACTGTCTTTCAACTGCAAGTGCTGCTGATGGCAACTCATCACACCATAATCTGTGAAGATTGAAGCTTTTCCATCTGTCTGTGCATCTGCAAAACTGCCTTCTTTGCCATACTGCAAGGCACCTGCTTCTTCCTTCACAACTCTCAACTCCTCTCCTTTCTTGAAAGGCAACTGCAAGTCCTCAACTGGCTCTGCAGCCTTTGCAGCCTTCTTCTCAACTTCATCTTCTTTCAAGGCTAGCAGCAGAGCTTTGTCCTTGATGGCCTTCTTCTTGCTCTTGGCTAGCTCTTTCTTCACAAGGCTACCTTTCTCCTTCAAACTTGGCTTTGATTTGGATGAAGCTTTGAGGATCAAAGAGGGCTTCAACTTTGCTGAATCTTTGGTCTTCAAAGAAGGCTTTCCCTTTGCCTTGGCCTTTGCTTGTGCAACTGGAATTATGTCTTCCATGGCTTCTCGCTTTGACATCTTTGCCAGCTTGCTCCTGATCTCTGCAAAACTCAACCTTGAAGCAGCTTTCCTTGCAGCTTGCCTGGCAGCTTTCAGCTTTGCCTTGTTGGCTGCCAACTTGACAAGCTCTTGCCAACTATCTTGCTGAGCTTTCCTTCTGATGTGAGCTCTCCTCAAACCTGGGCTCATCCTCAGGAACAAACTGTTCCAAAGTGGAACTTGCAGCTCTGTTGCTATCTCATCTTCATTGGGTATGTCAAGGGTGTCCCCACCTCCATCTGCATCTCCAGCTTCCTCTCCACCTTCATCTGTTTCAGCTGGGTTCTTGTAGCTCCACTCTATCAAGTCAGCTACCTGCGTGGCGCTGGAACTCAGGGCAAAATCTGCAGGCTGTGGAATTCCATCTTTGACCCAGCTGAACCTTGGCTCCAGCCAACTGTTGGGAATTCTCCTTGACCCCTGTGCCAGACCTCTTGCTTTGGCCCAACTTTCACCTAGAAAGGGCACAAGCTTTCCTGCCTCTGGTGAAGCTTTGAAAGCTATGAGGCCATTCCTCACACTCCCACCCACAATCCAATCTGTGTCAACCTGTCTTTGAACTGCTTGTCTCTGAGCTCCAACTGTGGCAAGGATGATCTCTTTGTAGCCAATCTTATACTCTCTGCCATCTTTCTTAGCTGCTAGCCTTTGCTCCTCAAGCTGCTCTCTGAAACTGGCTTTGAAGCTCTTGGCAAAGTCTGTATCTGTCAACTGAAGCTGCTGTGTCATCTTTCCCAGGATCTGAGCACTTGCTTGGCAACCTGTGAACTGCCTTTGCACAACGTGTTCCTGGAAAACTGCACTGAAGCAATCTCTGATCCACAAGCTGCAAATCTCTTCTTCACATTGCTCTTCAACTATCCATGCTAGCAAAACTCCATCGCAGTTGGAACTGGGCTGTGTCATGATCTCCACCTCTTCAAACTCTTTTGGAAACTGCTTCCTCAGCTCAACTGCCCAAGCTAAGCCTCTGCACTTCTCTCCAGCTTGGTGCTCCACCTCCACACCTTTCACTTCAAACTTCTCTGTTCTCTTGTACTTGCCATTCTCATCTACATTGCTCAATCTGTTGTGCTTTCCAGGGAAAACTAACAGTCCAGGAAGCACATGTCCTTGCAGCTCCTCTTTGTTAGCTATGTTGGTCACCCTCTGCCTGGCCTCATAGGTTATGCGAAACTTCTCAGCAGCACTGTCTCCCTTCAAAACTCTGCTGCCAGCAACAACTTTGCCACCTGGCTCACCTCCATCTGCAGCTGTGATTACCTGATGGCCACCTTCTTTCCAAGCTTCCTGTGCAGCTTTCAGCTCCTCCCTGCAAGTGTTGAACTCCCTCCTCACCTCAGCCCCAACTCCTTGTAGATCTTCCTTTGAAAACACAACCTTGGTGGATGGGCTTTTGGCCCACAGGGGAACTTGATCTGACATGCCTATGCACAATCTGTGCCGGTTTGATATCACCTGGTCCACATCTGAAACTATTTGAGCTGACTCTAGCTCTTCTTTGGGAGCTGCTCCCATGAGCCACAGCTTGTGATCTATGGACTGGAAAGTCAGCTGTGCTCGCACCTTTTGCTCCAATGGAGCTAGGTGGGTGGTCTGTTCTTTGGCCATGAACTTTGCCCCCATCCAGTTCAAGAGCAACTCTGTGTAGCTCTGTGCATAGCTCTTGCTCTTCTGCAACTTATTCTTCCTCTCCAGTGACTTTGCTGCTTCAATCTCCCACAACTTCTTCTGAAGCTGATCTGCGCTTTCTTCAGCTTTCTGCAAGCATCTTTCAGACCTTGCAACTAGGAGAGAGTAGAACTCTTCCCTGACCTCTCTCTTGCTGATGTTGTGGCCATTGCTCCTCTCTTCAGCTAGCCACATTCGCAGCTTCTCAATCTCCTCTCCAAAGTCATTCTTTCTTCCTCCTCCCTGAGCTCTAATACCTTTCCTGGTCCTCACACTCTTTGCTTTGCAACCTATCTTGGCACCTCCTTGAGCTCCAAGTCCCAACTTCTTTGTGAGCATCTGCCACTCTTCCTTTCTTGCATGCATATCTTTGAGCCTCCTTTTGTCTAGATTGTACTTCTGAACTGCCATCTTGTATAACTCCTCATCATCAGCACAGCTCGCCTTCATCTCCTCTAGGGAGATTGCAATCTCCAGCTTCTGCTGCGCAGTCAGCTCCCTTTTTCTACTTGGCTCTGCAAGTGCTCTCCTGTTGCTTTTCTTGCCTCCTGAGACACCTCTGTGTGCTTGCACAACTGTTTGTTCTTCAAATCTTGGTCTTCCTCCAAGCTTTCTTCTTTTCTTGATCCAATCTAAGAAACCTTCATCTGTTTCTGTGTGTATCTCTGCAAGCTTTAGCTCATATTCTGCCTGCACCTCCTCTGCTGCTAGCTGGGCTTTGCTTTTTTGTTGCCTTTTTGACCCCCAAGCTAGCTGCATGACTGGCTTGTGATCTGTGCTTTCACCTCCCCCCCAAAACCTCTTCAAGCTGAACTGCTTCTTGCCACTGCTGCCAGTGCTGGCTGGGCTCTGTTCAGCAACTGTGGTTGGGCTTGGGCTCGCAGACTGTGGGCCACTGTTGATCTTTCTGTAAGCTGTTGTCTTTCCTTCTGGTGTCTTGAAGCTGTCACTGGTGGACCTGCGGGTCTTGACCTCAGTGGTCCTGCTTTGGCTTACTATCTTCTGAGCTTGCTCTTGGGCCTGTCTCAACATCTCATCTGCTTGTGCCTTTGCTTTTGCTAAGATCTCCATGGCCTGTCGCTTTGCTGCTTCCTGTCAAAAGCAAGCTTCAAACTTGACAAGCTACCACCTAATCATGCTGTGTGCAACATGTCCTATCCCAAGACTTTATTCCAGGGGCCCCTATAATAAAGTCTTGATGAATGGTGCCCCCCCTGAAAAATGCAACTCCCTAATTGCAGTTACCTCTTGGCTAACTACCTAGCCAACTTCACACACAATCCCAGGTGATGCTGGTGAAGCTTCATGCTTTCTTCCCAAATCCAAACTGCAGACCTTGCCCAAACTCAAGTTTTATTACATGTCTCTTGTTTAAAAACTGCCATCCATCAAACCCACAAAGGGGGTAGTACTTCAAGCCCCCAAATTTGAAGCCCAAGACTTTATTCCAGGGGCCCCTATAATAAAGTCTTGATGCATTGACTCCCCTGAAAAATGCAACTCCCTAATTGCAGTTGCCTCTTAGCTAACCAGCTAGCCAAATTCAAAAACAATCCAAGGTGATGCTGGTGAAGCTTGCTGCTTTCTTCCCAAATCCAAACTGCAGACCTTGCCGAAACTCAAGTTTACTTACATGTCTCTTGTTTAAAAACTGCCCACCATCAAACCCACAAAGGGGGTAGTACTTCAGCCCCCAAATTTTAAGCCCAAGACTTTATTCCAGGGGCCCCTATAATAAAGTCTTGCTGCATTGACTCCCCTGAAAAATGCAACTCCCTAATTGCAGCTACCTCTTAATTAGCCAACCAGCCAGGCAAATTCAAAAACAATCCCAGGTGATGCTGGTGAAGCTTGCTGCTTTCTTCCCAAATCCAAACTGCAGACCTTGCCCAAACTCAAGTTTTCTTACATGTCTCTTGTTTAAAAACTGCCATCCATCAAACCCACAAAGGGGGTAGTACTTCAAGCCCCCAAATTTTAAGCCCAAGACTTTATTCCAGGGGCCCTCACAATAAAGTCTTGATGCATGCCCCCCTCTAAAAGATACAACCTCCTAATAATTGCAGTCACTCCAACCTGCTAAACTTAATTAAGATCACCCCCTTCCCCTCCCAATGTCCTCAGCGGTACCTTGAGTGGCAGCTTCTTTTGCAGCTTCAGCTCTTTCCAAGTCCTTGCAGGCATTGCACTTGGCTCCCAAGACTTTATTCCAGGGGCCCCTATAATAAAGTCTTGATGCATTGACTCCCCTGAAAAATGCAACTTCCTAAATGCAGTTACCTCTTAGCTAACCAGCTAGCCAAATTCAAAAACAATCCCAGGTGATGCTGGTGAAGCTTGCTGCTTTCTTCCCAAATCCAAGCTGCAGACCTTGCCCAAACTCAAGTTTTATTGCATGTTTCTTGTTTAAAAACTGCCCACCATCAAACCCACAAAGGGGGTAGTACTTCAGCCCCCCAAATTTTAAGCCCAAGACTTTATTCCAGGGGCCCCTATAATAAAGTCTTGATGCATTGACTCCCCTGAAAAATGCAACTCCCTAATTGCAGCTACCTCTTAATTAGCCAACCAGCCAGGCAAATTCAAAAACAATCCCAGGTGATGCTGGTAAAGCTTGCTGCTTTCTACCCAAATCCAAACTGCAGACCTTGCCCAAACTCAAGTTTCCTTACATGTCTCTTGTTTAAAAACTGCCCGCCATCAAACCCACAAAGGGGGTAGTACTTCAGCCCCCCAAATTTTAAGCCCAAGACTTTATTCCAGGGGCCCCTATAATAAAGTCTTGATGCATGGTCCCCCCCTGAAAAATGCAACTTCCTAAATGCAGTTACCTCTTGGCTAACTACCTAGCCAACTTCACACACAATCCCAGGTGATGCTGGTGAAGCTTCATGCTTTCTTCCCAAAATCCAAACTGCAGACCTTGCCCAAACTCAAGTTTTCTTACATGTCTCTTGTTTAAAAACTGCCATCCATCAAACCCACAAAGGGGGTAGTACTTCAAGCCCCCAAATTTTAAGCCCAAGACTTTATTCCAGGGGCCCTCACAATAAAGTCTTGATGCATGCCCCCCTCTAAAAGATACAACCTCTTAATAATTGCAGTCACTCCAACCTGCTAAACTTAATTAAGATCACCCCCTTCCCCTCCCAATGTCCTCAGCTGTACCTTGAGTGGCAGCTTCTTTTGCAGCTTCAGCTCTTTCCAAGTCCTGGCAGGCATTGCACTTGGCTCCCAAGACTTTATTCCAGGGGCCCCTATAATAAAGTCTTGATGCATTGACTCCCCTGAAAAATGCAACTTCCTAAATGCAGTTACCTCTTAGCTAACCAGCTAGCCAAATTCAAAAACAATCCCAGGTGATGCTGGTGAAGCTTGCTGCTTTCTTCCCAAATCCAAGCTGCAGACCTTGCCCAAACTCAAGTTTACTTACATGTCTCTTGTTTAAAAACTGCCCATCAAACCCACAAAGGGGGTAGTACTTCAAGCCCCCAAATTTTAAGCCCAAGACTTTATTCCAGGGGCCCCTATAATAGAGTCTTGATGCATTGCCCCCCCTGAAAGATGAAACTTTCTAAATGCAGGTACCTCTTGGCTAACTAAGTACCTAGCCAACTTCACACACACTCCCAGGTGATGCTGGTGAAAATTTATGAATTCTCACCAAAATCCAAACTGCAGACCTTGCCCAAACTCAAGTTTTCTTACATGTCTCTTGTTTAAAAACTGCCATCCATCAAACCCACAAAGGGGGTAGTACTTCAAGCCCCCAAATTTTAAGCCCAAGACTTTATTCCAGGGGCCCCTATAATAAAGTCTTGATGCATTGCCCCCCCTGAAAGATGCAACTTCCTAAATGCAGTTACCTCTTGGCTAACTACCTAGCCAACTTCACACACAATCCCAGGTGATGCTGATGCTGGTGAAGCTTGCTGCTTTCTCCCCAAAATCCAAACTGCAGACCTTGCCCAAACTCAAGTTTTCTTACATGTCTCTTGTTTAAAAACTGCCATCCATCAAACCCACAAAGGGGGTAGTACTTCAGCCCCCAAATTTTAAGCCCAAGACTTTATTCCAGGGGCCCCTATAATAAAGTCTTGATGCATGGTCCCCCCCCTGAAAAATGCAACTTCCTAAATGCAGTTACCTCTTGGCTAACTACCTAGCCAACTTCACACACAATCCCAGGTGATGCTGGTGAAGCTTCATGCTTTCTTCCCAAATCCAAACTGCAGACCTTGCCCAAACTCAAGTTTTCTTACATGTCTCTTGTTTAAAAACTGCCATCCATCAAACCCACAAAGGGGGTAGTACTTCAAGCCCCCAAATTTTAAGCCCAAGACTTTATTCCAGGGGCCCCTATAATAAAGTCTTGATGCATGCCCCCCTCTAACAGATACAACCTCCTAATAATTGCAGTCACTCCAACCTGCTAAACATAATTAAGATCACCCCCTTCCCCTCCCAATGTCCTCAGCTGTACCTTGAGTGGCAGCTTCTTTTGCAGCTTCAGCTCTTTCCAAGTCCTGGCAGGCATTGCACTTGGCTCTGCCTCTGACCACATCTCCCAAACTAGCTGCCTCATGCACTGCCTCAAACTCCTCCCAACCCTTCTCAAGCTGACCAATGACCTCATGCAAACCTGCCTCAAACTCCCCTCTCCTGACCTGCCTCAAACTCCTCCCAACCCTTCTCAAGCTGACCAATGACCTCATGCAAACCTGCCTCAAACTCCCCTCTCCTGACCTGCCTCA